TGACTCGATAGAAAAAGATCGCAAACTTTACTCAAAATTTACAGTTTTAGGTACGTCCACCAAGTGAAAAAGCAGTTTCATTAGAATGTAATGAAATCAATTTCAATTAAATTCAGGCTATGTGTTCACCAGTCAATACGTGGGTGAATTATGGGTTTATTTTTCAATAAAAGGGTATATATATCATTTTTCGATTTACGATTAAATAGCGCGCGGGACGACCAAACAGTACATATAAAGCATGAAAAATCTGATTTTGGCGCCCACTTCACCTTAAAAATTAATAAACCTAGTTTAGAACTTTGAACCAGAGCGTTCGTTAAAAGAGCCAAGACAAATAAAAGCCGAAAGTGCGTTATCTACGTGAGTGAATAAAGTAGAAGGTGGCCCTACACTGTGTCTTCATCGGTTGGTCAGAGAAAACCAGGTTTTTCATATAAGGAGTACCATTCCACAATTGGTTACCTATCCCTTAATGTTTTCTGTCCGTTTTCAGAATCTAAAAAAATCTCAGTAAGTTGCTTTAAAAAAATAATGTAAATTTTTGGCCCACAGTAAACTGCAAAAAATGCATAGCTTCCACTCTTTGATTATACACCTGAATCAAAGCTTCCACTTCAGACCCATATCCAAGTTGTCCTAACCCGATTGCCATCGTTGTACGGTGCACGGAGCTCTTGCCAAGGTTGTTCACATTCACCGCGCCCGGGCTTGCGTGACCCGACTCCGCGTATACACGCGATGTACTTGGTTGGTACTCACACATCTTGGAAAACGAAAATGTAACTAGTACCGTTAGCGAACAACTCCTAGATCACTAGGGTTGCAACTACGTATCGATATCGATAGTGAAACAACTTTTATCTTATTTTAATGATAAGAATAAAGGATACGAAAACAACGACTGCGACAACGAACGTAGCGATATGTTGAAATTTAGATAAAATTATTGCTAATTAATTGTTATTTAGTAGGCGTAAAAGCACCTACTACACCATATCAACAACCATTTAATAAATTTTTAAGATGGCTTTTAAAAAAAAGAAGGAGGTCTTAAATTTGACTATATATATATATATATATATATATATATATATATATATATATATATATATAGCTCTATACGCTGCTGTGTTTCGTATGGTGAGTTAGTGTACTAGAGACCCTTTTTACTGGAAAAGAAGCATTCCATCTTAGTCCTCATGGGTACAAAATAAATAATAGTACTACGTACGAGTATCATGAGTGACAACGCATCTGCATTTTGATTCATGATCGAGGTTTGATGTAGATGTCTATGGGACGCTTTAACCAATTACCATCAGGTGGCCTGTGTGCTCGTTTGTCAGTTTGTCACCCTTGTCCTATAAGTATATAAAAAAAATATAATTTTAGTTGTTGAACATTAGTTGTCGGGGATTCCTCCTCGGTATATGTAGGTATAGGTAGGTACTACGTATTAGCACTATCTCAGATGCTATTGCGTGTGAATTGTTTTATTATTTTTAGTTCTTTGAAGGTTTGAAGTCGGCTTTTACTTTCAATTGAAAGTGTAATTTAAACGAATTAAAAAATGTTTGCTTCAATTAAGCACAAATTAATACACCTATTTCCTTTAAAATAACCTAAAAATAATAAATAGCACAAACATACCTTACAAGAACCTTTTCAAAAAGATAAGTTTTTATAACGATAAAATATCTGAACTTAAAACGTGCTATAAATTACGAGTATAATAAAAATATATGACAAAAATAGTAACGCAGCAAGTAGCATCCTATAAAACATCATTGACGTTTGCATTAAATTTCAAACTATTGACCAAAACAACTCGATTCCTCGAGCAATGAATAACAAATCAGTTACTGTTTGAATATTTTTCCCAAGGACGTTTCTACACGTGTAGCTCCTGTCAAATAGATAGTTTTGCATGGTATGTTTAATAGAACCGTGCATGGGGTCGATAGTTGCTTATTCAGAAAGGCCCGCGCAAACGCCTACTGAATTAAGTTCTTATCTGAACCGGATACGGGTGACCGAGGCGTTCGCTTAAACCGGCAACCGGTCGAGGCCACGAATCCCTATATCCCATCAACTTGTACTTTAGGCAACACGTTGTAATTAATAGATTTGCGCAATTGTATGGGTACAGGATTATGATCCCCGGTCGAGCCAAAATTAGTCACTGGGTTTTCTGACAAGAAATTTTTAATAACAGCTTGGAGTCTTTTAGTTGACAGTGTATCACCCTCGTGCTCCGGAGAGCAGGTAAAGCCGTTGGTTGGCCAGCGCCTGATCTCTCTTCGATCGTGTCTAATTGCCGTCCCAGCGGACAATGAGTATTTGAATTGAGAGTGCACCTGTGTTTGCGCACAAATATTTGTGCACTATAATGCTCCCTGGCGCAGTTGGCTAGGACTGGCCGCCGTGATCAAATTTCAGTCGGGAGGATAATATAAAGGAATAGAAAATGTCTTCGAACTGCCAATTAGTTGAAGTCATTTAATTTATAGGTCGTTGAATGTGTATCTAAGGTCGAGCTTATGTGATTATTCAAGTCAACTTTGGGTCATGAAATGATAAACGTGTATCAAATCCTAATATGACGATTCCATATTGGATTTTACGTTAGAACTTAGAAACTGTTTCATACCTCATGAACCTCTCTCGTTTTGGGGAGTATTTGCCTTAATCATCATGCTTATTATTTTAATTCGTCCTGGAATTGACGCCCAGACGTAGTAGAGAGTACCTACACACTAGATACCAACCATGTTAATTCTATGATATATAAAGAATATAGACGATTAGCGTTAATAAACATTTTATTGTTTTTACATTAAAAAAGTAAATAAAACAACAATGTTATTGATACTTGAGTAAATTACGTACGTTGCATACGTGCAACCAGTAGATACATCTATTAAGTATTCTTTTATAGTATGTATTGGATGACAAACGAGCACACAGTCCACCTGATGGAAAGTGAATGTCTGTGGCCCATAGACATCCGCATTTATCTTCAACTAAGGATCAAAATGCAAAAGCGTAGTCACCCCTGAGGACTAAGATGGAATGCATGGTACTAGTAAAAAGGGTGACCGGTTCTCTACACTCACTATACGCAATAAAGCAGAGGCACGCTGCTATTTTACGCTGGTATTTTTGTGGGAGTGTGGTCCTGCCCTGGTCGAGCCGACCCATTCGAGCTATAACTGTAATATAGCTGTAGCATGGCTCTACCACCTAAAATCCAATATCACACATACACAGGTATGCACGCACGCACACAAATACCTTACCTATTAGCTTTACCAGACAAATGATTATCGCCAGCTAAAATACCCATTCTTATTCGCTGCACTGCGTTATTTCTCTACTGGCTCCGCTACGTGTTTTATGGGGTTTCGCACGCGTCGTCTCTCGGACAATGAAAATATATAAATAAACAATAATGAAAGTTGAACGACCAAGACGGGCGTAGATGACTCACATTTTACCTGACCGGACCGCGGTTTCATTTCAAAACTCGTCCGCATCGGTTGCAAATGGTGAAATTCCATAATTCCGAGTTTTGTAGACACACAACACACATAAATTGAAAAACGCGCATAGTAAAGCCTTGTGCTATAAGGTATGCGTCCGTACCTTCCTTAGGAAAACTGTGTGGGTATGCTTCCCGCGAATCATTGACAACGTACGTCAGGAAGCAGGCTTGAGTTAAACAAAGGCACAATTTCGCTATTGTTTCATGTGATAATGATAGAATTATTTGCTATTAACAAAAATAAAGAATATAAGGAACATGTTAGCATGTTACAAACATTTTCAAATAACTCAAACTAAATATTTTACTCGTACCTATCAAGTTTTATTCTTGTCTCTTTTTCGAACCACCATGGCTTTATACATATATAAATAATAAAAGGACGTAAAAGGCGCTCAATCAGATATCATAATTATTAACACCAGTATAAGAACACTGTCAGTGTACAAGCGGGTCTTGGTGATAAGATCATTATTAACTTGACGTCCGTCTGAAAAGGTTACCTATTCCTGCCACGAAGCAGCAGTGAGTGCACTGCTGTTTTCTGACGACTGCTGCTCGTGTGGTCACGGGTTCGAATTCCAGATAGTACCAGACTCTCATCTCGTTCCGCGAAGACTAGCCACAAGCGCAAGACAGGATTATAGTGTTTGCGTATGTGCACAGGCGCGCTCACTAGCGAAGACTAGCCACAAGCGCAAGACGTATAGTGTTTGCGTGTGTGCACAGGCGCACTCAGCGCTTTATTCCTTCACTATGCTTTGCAACGTGTTTTTCGAGGCACGGAGGTGAAACACCGCCATCTTTCAGATTTCACGTTGCTACTGAGATTTTCTAGATAGTAAAACACATTAACTAATTTCGGCCCGATCCGGGATTTTGTCTTTTATACCCCGGGACCATATGATCAGCAGTTACATGTTGCTAATAAAATTATACTGAAGTGTAATTGTATTACTTACCTAAGAAACTTTTTTTTTAATGAGTCATATGCACTAGCGTCGCAAAAACAAAATGAAGTGTTCGTTCCTTCGAACGGAATCCAATTTAAAATTTTAAGATATAATGTATAAACGACAAAATACGAGAAGTGAATAGTTATTATAATTTGAAAAAGTTATATCAACTATTTATTATCGAGGCGTGACAATAACAATTCAGCAACACATGATTGAAAATAATTCAAGAGAATGATAGCAAAAATAAAAATAAACTTTTCGACAAAAGCCATGACGTTCATAATAACGATGTTACGATTACGATATTACTTAAATAATACTTAAGGTGCTTTCTGTTGCACGCCTAACAGAGGAAGTGCGGGTTTAAGATGTGTCTCCCTGCGCTTAACGTGACACATCGCTTTGTGCGGGCTGTTAGGTGGAAAGATGACTGGCAAAAGTGACGTATATCCGGGGTTAAGAAAAGAGAAAAAAAAAATAGTTCCAAAATCAAATCACGTCCATCGTGTTCCCGGCTTGAAGCATGCGCCACGGTCGAGGGCCAATGCGCCCGCGCATGCTTCTAATGACGGTAGGGGCGGGGGACGACCGGTTGTTGCTGGCTGCGACGTGGTATGTATCACCCATCTAATACGAGTTAAAGGATATAATTTTATTACAATACAATTAGGTTTTGTGCTTTAATTAGTATTAACAATTTTTATTTATAATAATATATACAACACGTAACATAATTAACGCACTTTGAAAAAGTAGTTTGTTCAGAATCGTTTACTGAATCGATTCCTATCATTTTTAATATAGGTAATTTTTTATCCCAAAAATAATTAAAACTACGTAAATTACAGTCACACTAAATCGGTACAGTCAAAACAAACTGAAATGGACCGTAACTTAAGGCAATAAGACTTTTAAGAGTGCAGTTATATTTTGTATTATTACTAATTCTGTCATTCAATAAAAATAAAGAAAAATGAACTTTATTTCAAGCACGTTAAAGTCTTTGCGTTCGTGGGGGTCTGTACTGTGACCACAACATTCTTCCGGAATTAGTATAACTAATTTGATAAATAATCAGAGCATAAAAATGTTTAACTAAAAATTCAGTGTATGTATTATGATTATAACATAATATACTGATTAGAGTGTCTGAGGGTGTGCGTTAATTACGTTACATATTGTATATGTAAGTAACGGCATCATAATTACAATTAAGTATTACTCGCCGTTGATTTGTAACTATTAATTTATATATAAAGTCTACTTTAAAGATAAAGTTTATTTTATTCATTCCATTTACGATAAACGTAGTCATAAAGTTGATAAGATATGATACATAATATACTGGATTCCTCATATTCTTTCCGATTAATTTTCAAAAGTGGAAGCCTGTAGGCGTAAGTTGAATGTACATTCTGAGGTTGAAGTCTCCAAATGTATTCCGTACACTTTATAATTTTAATACACTATAAATTATCAGATTTCACACGTGTAAATCACACTAACAAAACTAATATAGCTTATATTTATTTATAAAACCAAATAAGAACGATTATTCTTGGTGTCTCGATACACTCTTTGCGTCAAGCAATCATTTATTAATAACTAAGCCATTATTTTTCAGAGTGGGATTTTTAGGTGTTCTTCCTCAAAAGGGATAATATTAATAAGTAAAACTGAATATAAAAAATGAAGAAGTCAAAAGTATTGTAAAGCTGCAGGCAGCTACATACCTCATGGCATCGAGGAACTTGTTCACCGTCCCCCGCACCCTGTTAGAGCTCCCCGACTTTTTTTATTCCTTTCACCCTCAGCTTAGGTTCGCGATAGCCACGCCGCCGCACAGCGACACAAACTTCTCGTTTTGTTGCCTCCCAAGTCAATCCGCTCAACTTTCACGCCAGTTTCAGCGAAAAAGTTACGTCGCGTTTAGAAACATAAGCGGAATCAATAATATCGTCTAACACCGGCTGGTGCCAGGGTACGGCCTAGGGAGCATTGACGTATTAATAAAAAATGACTTGTTTATAAACGGTAAGCCATGCAGTGTTTACTATCTTGAAAAAGGTAACTGCATTTTAATTGATCACAACTTTTGGTATTCTTATCAATAAGTAATAAGTGAAGTAACTCAGAAAACTTTGTACCCCTTTTTAAGCGTATTGCGCGCACAGAGAAGTGTGACATATGGCACAGTTAAAGTTATTAAACACATCTCTGTCTGTCGTTTGTTAACATTTATACCGCCGACGACAAACATATAATAATCTGTGGTCAAATAGTCGCACAGAGTAGAGATTCTCGTCAAAAAATTCTTTTTTTATTAAAAACTTTGAATTAGTTAAAAAGTTGCCAATAAATAATAACTACTTAATTTTGTGTAACTACAAAACCTCCTTTTTCAATAGTATGTGGAGTGTATGTTAAGGCAAAACATTTACTTTATACTAGCGACAACAGCGCTATCTACCGGCTCTAAATGTGCATCTTAACCATTTAGGGAGCTATTCAAACACACAAACAAAATTTCACCTAAGTCAGTCGTGCCGTTTTTGAGTTTTAGCTAGACTAACGGCCAGTAATTTATTTTTATATATAGAGAATCTTGTATATGATATATCTGTGTTTTAATGGGCAGTTGAAAATGAATTAAAGCTTGCTTAATATACAAACTTAAAAGTTAAATGAATTACGGTCGAATTTCGACCATAATAAGGCGATCACTAGTATTTCAGTAATAAGTACAATATTGGATGAGTTTTGAAAGTCGCCGACATCACGACACTATAGAGACAGTGAAGAAGCAACGTCGCCTCTACAATCTTCAAATTATTTCAAATATAACACCACAATATTTGGACACTATTATGTTAAAATGATGTAATTGTTATATTTATCATAACACAAAACCTCAGACGATTCTTAAATGTATAAAGTGAAAGCTTAGAGGTGTTATGGGTCATCGACCAAATAATATAGTCTAACCTAATGCATTAAAACCTTTTAATGCAGGTAAATAGCATTTCGTTCTCACACGCGATAAATAAGAGTTTGCCAAAATAAATTTTCTTTTCAAACGCCCGAACCGGATTAAACCCGATCGATGTAAACTTAAATGAATGCAATGAATGCGTAATCGCCGAGTATCGTCAAAATTCTTATATTGAACAGACTTTGATTTTTAGAAATTGACAAAATTATTCAAAATTTAGAAATAGATACAATTAAACATTTCGAAATATTATTTAATTTACTATATTGTCAAAACTAATCTCACGGCTTTCAAGATATTCGACAGATGGCGGTATATCACCTCGTTCGCTAGACGTAAAAAGGTCAAACCGTCGCGGCGCGGCGACGACGGGCTGCAGCATCAAAGGTGCTAAGTATGGAGTGTAGAAGTAAGGAGTACCAACTCTCATAGTAGAATAATTGAAAAAGTGTCCATCTGTAAGCAGTAAATAACAGTTCAAAAACTCTCCACAACAGCGCTGGAGTAGCTACTGGGATGAAATGAACTTAGCAGTTGTCGACGGTTTAAAGTGCTGCTAAATTGCTCAGTAGCTCTAAAATCTAAAATAATTTTATTTAGTAAATATAACCTTGAGAAAGTCGTCTATCCCACTAATATTTTTCGACGCGTTCTTTAAAATTTACCCCGTAGCTATAGTGGCGCCACCCTTATTTTACGGTTTTCTATGGACACTTTTTAATACACAGTCTGTACCTACTCCTTACTTCTACACTCCATAGTGCTAGGCTTTTGGTATTGCGATCGTCGATCCGTCTGCCAAGTGTGACGATTTTGGTAACTCCTTATTACAACGGGGAAGGTTATTAAGAGAACAAAAAAGGGAACCCTTATTCTATAAAAAAAAACTGGGAAGGTGCATGTCCAGCACTAGACATTTACGTGCTGATAAAGAAGATAAAGAAGAAGCAGAGTCAAAAAGTACGCAAAATTGAAACATAAGAATAAGATGACTTGGTAGAACCACGTTGCAGCTATATTATGGTTGTAGCACGAATGAGTTGGCTCGACCTAGGTAACACCACGCTCTCATAGAATGCCAGCGTAAAATAGCTTAATTGTCTCATATGGTGCGTGTAGAGATCCGGACACCCTTTCTTACTGCAAACGAGGCATTCCATTTTAATCCTCAGGGGTAACAACGCATATCTGCGTTTTAATTCTTAATCGAGGTTAAATGTATATGTCTATAGGCCACAGCATCCACTTACCAACAGGTGGTCTACGTGCGCGTTTGTTACCCTTATTCTATAAAAAAAGGATCAATTGTTAAACCTTCTACCGATATACCAAAATTTAATGAAGGCAGTAATTATATCAAAGGCAATAAGTAACCTAGCTTAGTTTTAATATTACTAGATCGCAATGTATAACAGAGATACTAGATACTAACTAGCGAACGTGGTAATTGGCCGTGCGGCAAAATGTCGCCGATACGCGGACCCGTTTATCAAGCTTACGCATCAGTTACGCAAGCGTTCAACGAGTCAACATTTACTCCTGTGATGACATGTGGAAATAATTTATTAATCATGTCAAGCGCTGCTTTAGTTTTTTACGTGTCTGGCGCGTTTATGGCCATTATAATTATTGCAATAGTATTTACTTACTTACTTACTTATCTTCACGCACAATCCCTAACGAGGTAGCCAGAGAGAACAGATCGCCAAGTGTCACGATCCTTACATACCTCTTTCGCTTCTTTCAGGTTCATTAACTTCTTCATACATGCACGTCTAGGTATCCGAGTACTCTTGACCTTCCCCTCTTCGAGCAATTTGCTCACATGGTCTTCGAAAGTTAGTCTCGGTCTACCTCGACATCTTTTAATATTTACTTTCGCTCTATATATTTTCTTCACCATTCGGTCTTCACTCATTCGCTCAACGTGCCCAAAACATTGGAGTACGCCCCTATCAATTTTTGTGATAAGGTCATCTTTCAATCCTGCCATATTGCGAATCTCTTCGTTTCGCTTTCGATCGGCTATGGTAACGCCACACATTTTACGCATATAAGAGATATAAAGTATATAAGAGATCGCTTCTCCACTGCATTCAACTTGCTTTTATGCTTCTTCTGGCATACCCAAGTACGCAATAGTATTTGTTGTTTCAAACGCTAGTACTCACAAATGCATGTGTTAAGATCGTCTGATTTAAAACTACACTGTAGGTAATTTATGGGATAAAAAAATGCTAAAATCTACAAAAACATTATATGTAAACAGTGAAAGTAAAAATTAGATTTTATGATACTTAAAACGACATGTGTGACAAAATCTACAGAAAATACAAAGAAAAGTGTGCAGTTTAACCTAAATCGATCTCTTACAAATAAAAGTCAATTATTTTAAAAGAAACAATTATTATATATAATAGTAAGACAGATGATAGCCGAAGCACATGTTCATTATATAATCTATATTTGCGATGGTCGTTACTTCCATCTACATTTTTGTTATATATATCTGATATGATCCGGTATGTAATATGTAATATACAATTGCACGTGTATATCCAATACACAAAAAAGCACGATTTATTATGTTTTGGACACATTTTTACTGGTTATCAATGAAAGGCTAAATCTATAT